AACCGAAAAAAAAAAGAACTTAAAACGACACGACTAATATATTTTAAAGTAATTTCTAAATGTCTGACGCATCCGCTTGCCGTTTACCGACATGTCTAACGTATCCAGTAATTTAAATTTTGAACAAATGGCACAAATAAAAGGACTTCTTGGATGGGCATGTTGCGTGATTGTCTGTCTTGGATGTAGCAGCCACGTTCCAGGTAGCCAGTCAAGTCGCCCAAAACTGAGTCATCTCGCCCGAAATCATAATCACGTCACCCGAAATTTTATCAGGTGTAACAAACAGATAAATATAGTAGAATAAAGCGGTGTCTACAATATATCTCCTTCTTTTAGTCATGATGAGACGAAACAAGCGCCATAAATGTGTGATCAGGTGCAATGTATCTCATTCTTTAATCCTTGTTGAGGCGAATCGGTTAAGCGCGAAAAATGAGTGCTACATCTCGTTGTGTAAGCGATGGTGAGGCGAAACAAGCGCGATATTGAAATGTGCAATAGGACTCTAGGATGTTGTTGAGGAAATTAAAATTTCGGGCAAAATATAGCTCAGCATTCGGGCGACACAACTCTGGTTTCGGGTAGTCTGCTACACAGCCGTTTTTAGTGTCGTCCCGCAACGCTCCTCTTGCGTGACGACACTAAAAACGTCCGTGTAGCAGACTAGGTTTCGGGCGACTTGAAGGTAAACCGAACCTCCTATGATCGTTTGCCTCTCTTCTCTTTTCACACCCAACCTCAAGTGTCATGGAAACTAGATTTACCAGTGATCAACGGCTTCGGGTATCAGAAAAATTACGATCAATTACAGGTGTCTTTTCTTAATGTAGTGGCAGATTTTATAAAGAGGTGGACGAAAAAAAACTAATTTTGGCCCATAAATGAGAATGATTACGCCATTTGATGGTCTTATGGTAATGACACCGAACGCAAAAGTTTCTGACGGGTAAGGCAGAACGGGTAGTGTTATCCCGTGAAAACAAATTCACCTCCGAGGATTTGAAAAAGCATGATGGTAGAAAATTGGTCTGATTGGTGTTCAATCCCATTTCAACACCTTTCACGATTATTTGTTTTACCACTCGTATATTATGTGGACCGAGCAAGAAAAATTTCGTCCACCTTAAGAAACTACAATTACGTTATTTTACTACGTAATTGTTTTAAGTGTTACTCAACCAAACATACGTGTGTGAAGGCCTAAGTAAAATCTCAAGTTATTTAACTTTGCATCTTATTAAAGTCGGAAAGTTGAAACGATTCAAGAAAAGTTTCGAGTGACATTGGTTGTCTTTTTACTAGGCTGTTAAGTAAGACTTGAGAGCTGCTAAGTGTTACTTAACCGAAGATACGTGTGGGAAGGCCTAAGTAGAATCTCAAGTTATTTTACTTTGCATCTCATTAAAGTCGGAAAGTTGAAACGATTCAAGGAAAGTTTCAAGTGACTTGAAAACCATCCTTAACACCGACTTTGCGAACTTGCGGTTTCTTGAGCTTTGAGAAAGGCGAAGCATGTCAATCACTCTTAATTATGTTGCCTGGAAAAAACCTGAAGTAATAAAGATAGGTTGTGTATGAAGCTTCTTTTGACTTGAAGAATTTAAAATTATTTTACTGGTCTTGAAATATCTCTTAGCTTATTTAGGCTCTAGTGTGAAGACTACCATTGTATAACCTCAATGCGCTTGTGACAGTTCAAACATTTTTCAAACCAAGACGAATCAAGGGCCATTAGATCACTTGATTGCTGTCACATCTTTTATTTTATTTGGAAAACCACCGGTACCAGTTCTTTTTGCATTTTTTTTCAAAACTCTCGACAACACGTATCGCTTTGAAATCGTTTTTGTCCGCCCACGCGTATCCGTTTCTTTTCTGAAAGCGGATATGTATATATTTTTTTAACACATGAAATGACTATAAATAATTCTGAAATAATTCCTCCTCCAAAATGATTGTTTGTTGTGTGGATTAAGTTATCCTACCCGGCACTTGTAGTACGTCCGAGGTCTTGCTTGTTGACCTGTTCTGGGAAGCGTTTCTAAAAATTTACATTTTCGGTAACCGTTTTCATCAGGTAAGTGTGGGCTGAAGCCGAATCCGGAGTTTCCAAAATAGGGAAACTTAATGACGGGGCTAGAGTTGCTTTCAAGTCGACTTTCTTTCAGGGATGAATTTGCGAAAACGAGCTTCGAAAGTCACGAGAAGAGAAGACGGACTTCTAGAAGTAGTATTTAACCTAAATACCAAATTGGAGCCCTCTTGGGACAGGATGAAATCTAAAAGCAAAGAAAATTAGGTAATTATTACAGTCAACAAAAGCAGTAGTTTGCAGAGTTGCTATTTTGAAGTAAAAGCTGCTTAGGATACATGGAGTGCCATATGCTAGTAAAGATCACTGAACTATTTTTTTGGTATTATTATAGAAGTTTATCTTCTTAAAGGCAAACGTAAGGCAAAGCCTGTCGTTTTGGACACTAATTGCGAAGGATTATTGAACAAAGAACTTGGACAAAAGCGAAGCAGAAAATAGATATGCAGAACCACTCTCTGAGAGTGATTAGATGAAAACAAAGCTAGTGAAACAATTACTTACAGTTTCGATATCCATTTCAGCTAAGTGTTTGTACGTTGTTGCTTACTGTTTGCATTTCATTAACTGAAGGAGACGTGTAGCTAAAATTACCATCCTTGAGAGCATTTTTGTTGATCCCTCAGACAAAATGAAAATATTTGGTTGTCGATTACATGGCTAGACGTCTATTTTCAGCAGGAACTAGGCCTACATACTTGCCCAAGGTTTTAAGTCGGGACTGATACACACGCGAAACTAGTTTTCTTGCAATAGTAACAAGTGCATATTAGAAAAAAAGTTTTGTTAAAAACGGTAAACCTATGAATCGAGTCAGGTAGTCGGTTATTCAGGTTAATTGGGATGACAAAGAAATGAAGTGAAAAACAAAAACGTTGGTCCAATCTGATCTGATTGAGTATTTATTGTCCACAAGACAGTAATAATGCATGAGAAGACGTTCTTACGATGACGGAAAGATTATAATATTAGATTGTAATATTATTGCTTTGTAAAAAAAAGGTGGTCATGAGAATTACGGACATGATCAAACAAGATGAATTTTCTTGATATTTTATCAACTTCTCCCCACTACTTCTGTAGGAAATGAATAGGGGCAACAAATGAGAATTCAACTTTTGATCTTAAGGTTTAAAGGGTTAACGAAATCGTTCATGTGTCATGTCTGTCGCGTGGTTTGTTACAACCAACTACGCGACTGACAAGCCAGGCGAACGACTTCGTTACCGCTAAAAGCCATGCAAGAAAGAAACCTCTGCTCGCAGGGTATTGTCTTGTGGCAGTTTGTGTGCTTTTTGCGAACGTCATCAAGGTGGGATCTAACCGGAACCGAGAGAACTTGTAATCTCAACACCGTCCATAAACCGCTAACACTCAGTGTACCTGGAGGCATCAGGAACGCATCTAGTGTATCACTGACTCTACCTTTACCTTACACTATAGCTTGTATCACCTACCCCACCCTCAGACAAGAGAGGAACCGATGCGTAGGTCGCTAAGGCGCGTGACTTCAGTGTGTTTCCTCGATGATGCATGTGATTTTTTCTAAGCATAGTATTCCACGTATGATGCTTAAAAGACTGATTTCAAGTGCATTTGAAGCTTACAGTTATAAGCTTATAGTCAGTTATAATGTCCATTCAAAGAGCAGTAGACCATTCCCGTGTCTCATTCTGACCTTTAAATTCAAGGCAACCGTGCGTTTCATTTGAATGCTTGGAATTCCAAGAACATTATTGCTTCCAAGGCCTCTTAAAAAGGGGGCGTGCGCCAACTGAGAGACTTGTGCCTCGTTCATGTTGGACTGCATCCAACAATTTGTTAGTTTGACCACAGAAGCAGCAAAGCAAAATGTTGTGTGGATTGGAATTCTATACTATAACAATTTAGAACAATGTTAAGGCTTAAAGCCACTGCGGAAACGCATGAAATGAAGAGAGACTGTATAATCCGTCTCCCACAGTCCGCCTTGGCGCACGCTTGTACCATGAGAACGGTCTGCCCCCGCTGAAGAGAGCAGAAATCAACAGTTTTAGTTGAGAGACCATTAAGTATGTCAACGCAAATAGTTTACATTAAAATGAAACTAAAAGCAAAATTAAATAAAGTAAAATAAAAAATCAAGGGCCATTAAGCATGAAAAAATACTAATCCAATTTAAGCCCGGACAAATGCCCAGCGCAGTAATAAAGTGATTGAGACATTGAGATGTATGCTGTTTTTTAAAAAGATGCTTTCCGGAGACTAGAACAATTACCACTATAGTGATAAAAAGTGTTTGTTCTTTTATGGAATTTCCCGAAACTTTTTTTAACCTTTCTTTGAGATGCGAAGCAATTAAAAACTCTGTCAACCGTGATTAATAAGTAAATGCCACGTATTTTCATTTGCGCGAGCTATTGTTTATCTCCAGGGTATCATAATTTACATGTATAACAGGGAGCTGGCTGAAGATTTTAGATATTTTATCATTTTAACATCAACTATGACATCTTAAGTTGAAGAATCTCGCGACGTTTTAGACTTCTACGAGAAACAAGAAGAAACGAAACGCTGATTTTTGTACTGTCGAACTCATCGGTGTAGTTTAAATCCAAGGAGCCGAGTGTCGATATTTGATAGAATACCTTCTAAAAACTGAGCATTAAAAACAAAACGGTTTTGTAAGCTGTTATTTCCTCCTGCCTTTTGCTGTAAACATGAAAAATATTAAAACGGGGGAGTCTAGAACACATGCAAAATAAATACGAGATGAGCCCGACTGTCTGAGAAGCCTTTCAAGTGATTCCCGGGGGTCGATTTCGCTTGCTCTGATTGGTTGTAATTATGGCGGGTAATTTGTTCAAATATGACACGTGCAAAATGTGCAGCTAAATATTCGCGCAAAATCTATTCATTCATTGCGGTAAAAGCCCTGAACCCGCGAAGGTCTCGCTACGTAGTCAAAGCTTCCTTCGGTTTCAGTCATAAAGAAGGTTTATTAGTGGCCTAAGCTGCATTGTCAGTCCACATTTCATCAAATTAGTAAATGGCAATTGGAAGGTAAGGGTAGAAACTAAATGATTGTTTATTTTGCGAGTGCAAACTCAATGCAAACGATCTGTAAACTTTGCTCTTTGCCATTCGATATGGATCGATTTTGATCGAGATCCTTCGCTTCCATGTTGGCTTATTAATCTGTTTCTACTTTGTTCTAAAATAAGGAAGAACCACTTATTTCATTTATGAATAACTGCAGCAAAACTTACGATAGTCGCTTTGTTGTGTGTAGTGACTGTGCGGCAAAAGACCTTCGGCATTTCAGCTTGGAAGCGTTGGCCGTCGACGAATCGACCACGAGAAAGAGAAAGGCAAGTATAGAATTATCACCTTCATGCTTTTCTGGCAAGGCAAGATTAAACGTATTTTATCAACTTATAGAAAGATTCGACTTCAAGAGGAGCCGTGAGCAAGCGAAGCAGAGCGGGGCAACAAGAAAAGGTAATACAATCGACCCCATTTCCCGCCATGTCCTAAACACTCCCGCCATTTTGGAATGGGCACATTGTTTGTTGTGATTGCTTGATTCACAAAGAAAATCAAATTCTTCCAACATGCATCGTCTCCTTTATTTAATAACAACCCCTCTTCTTCCTCATCTGTTGTGGTGACTTCGAAATTCGAAGGTTTGACGAGATTTTTCGACGTTCACATTCCCTTGATTGTTATATAAACACTCGTTCCTATTTCATCAGCTTCAAAGCGAATGCAGCTTATATAATTGATTCTTCAAAGGGACCTTTGTGATTTCTTTAGAAGTATGACATAATATTTCATTTAAAGATATTTCGAGAATTTTAAAGTGTATTTTACGTTTATTTGACTGCTTAAACTTTGGCGTGGCTCGGATTTGATTAGCGCCCCTGATCATCATCACTGAACGGGTGGCTTCATTGTTTGACTTCCCCAAGCAACAAGTGCCATGAATTTAATGACTGTTTTGAGCTATTCTTCCATTTCGTTATCTCAGATGAGTAGTATCGAGTGAAACAAACTCTTTAATGCTCAATCGCCTTGCATGTAGAAAGTAAGTTGTATTGAAGAAACGTGACAGTAACTTTAATACAAAAAATACAATTTAATTAATCTCTCAAGGAGCTTTCAACAAGTTTCTTATTATGCCAGAGATTTTATCCTATATATTTAGATATTTGGTTAAATATGAAAAAACGCTTCAGTCTCTCTTCCCTTAAAGGACCTGTTAAAATTTAATACAGAAAACAAATAAACTATGACTGGAATATATATTAAATATAAATTTCTTCAAAATAATCCATTTCACGTTAGGCCTTAAAAAGATATTTTCGGTTAGATTGCCAGTTTTGTGGTATTTTTTTTTTCACTTCTTGTGGTAGGACAAAATATTGATCAACCATAGACAGATTTTTTCTTGAGTTTTAAAACTATTTTTTTATTAAACATGCCAATCTTTAATAAGTCAATGAACACTGTTAAAATTGAAAATTGAGAATTGGCGAGATAAACAAGCCTTTTTACAGTGTATGTGCTGTGTGGTCCTACAAATCTTGAAATGCCTCAAAAATTATTTTTATTTTTTAAAGTAGAAGTGATACAATTTTGCCAACCAAGCAATGCCAAGAATGTTCATAAATCAGGAATCAACTTTGGTACATCAATATTGAAAGATTTTTTATTCATAGCATGGCTTAGACAGTTTGGTTTTTCTTTTCTTAGTGTACTATAATGTGTTATTACTTCAATAATAGATTTGCAATTTGCTTCCCCTGAATAACATACCGTCTTGGAATATAAACTGTTTTAAATAGCTAGGTTAAGTTCTTTTCATCAGTGGAACTTCTTTGAAGCCCTGGGGACAAAGAATAAATTATATTGCCCTGGATGAATAATAATAATAATATTAACAGTCAAACGTCTAAAGGATGTTCCATGGTACAGACACATTCTATATTAGGGACTATAGACCTTATTCAAGATACCCGCCATCTTTGTATGCACTTAGTTTTATGATTGATGGAATAAACGTCATATCACATGGTTTCTCAGGGGGTAAACAGATGATAATATTTGCCAATACGAGTAATCACCGTCAAGTTTATTTGTTTATTGGCTCAAAGTGAAACAGCAATTTAAGTCATGCAAAATGTACAGTTTGTGTTTCGAAAAGTTAATTGCTTGCTGTGATGACATCTATGGTCGTAGCTGCATCCCAAAAAGTAACAATGATCAGTTCTACCCATAATTTGCCATTATCATCTTTAATAGTAAAAGTTCTTAATGAATTATTTTCTGTTGTTTAGAATAAATAAACTTAACTGTGCTTTCTTGTATTAGCAGAGTTTATCACTTGTTTGCTCCCTGAGAAACCATGGTATCATGAATAAGGTCTATTCTCATTGTCCAAAAGACATCAAGGGTGGTTTGCATCATCCGGGACATTGACAAGTGTTGCTACGACCACGGTTACGTGGAACATTGTTTGATGAATAGGAATGATGTCACTGCTATACATGTAGGGATATAATCCATTGTTAGGTTAAACCTGTTTTAAAGAGAGGATAATTTCAGAGTCTTCATTAAAAGCTGGCAACTAGCTAAAAAACCTGCTCCTCTGAGGTCTGAGCCATCTACTTTAAGGGGTAAAGTGATGAAGTGAAAGCCTCATATTGCCTACAGCACTTGATTGCCAAGCTGCCTCCTTTTATATCCTATCTGTTTACTTTAAAACTTAATGAAAACCCAGGTTAGAACCCCAGCAAAAGCTGACCTGAAAAGGTTAAACACCGGGTTAACCTGAGAACAGATTTTAACTGTAACATGACTTCTTTTTACCAATTTTATTCTGACACCAAAGTGTGCATTGTTGTTTTTACTTGAATTTTTGAAGATTTTAGGAAAATGGAAAGCATGCCAACTGGACACGTTTGAAAGAGTGAAACTGAAGTGTCTTGTCTGTATAAGTTTTCTGATTGCAATAAAATTAATTATATCAACTTTCTGGTTTTTTCCTGTGAAGCAGGACGTCGCAAATACACCTGTGTGTTTCATTTTCTACCCAAATTTGGTTTTTAATCAAATAAAAGAAAATAAAACATTATACGCTTACATGTATGTAGCTCTGAAAACCTTTTGTGTGCTCTACACTTATCTGTTATTTTAGAAAGCACTTTACAAGTGAAGACAAATAAACAATTAAAATATCAAATAATAATTAAATGCTTTTAACAATAATTCATTTCTTAATCGCTGTCAACAAGGTTTCCTGGAGATACAGGCTGTAGTCATGTTCAAAATGAATGTATGACAAGTTGATTTCCTTGTACTGCATGTACGTGATACTTAACACCTCTGGGTCACTTATTCCTAAAAACGATACATATGAATATTTGCATTGGCCAGGCATCAATCTCTATAAACCAATTAATGGTAACATGTAATATGTTATTATAAAGGTAGTGTTTTATTCTCTTACAAGACGTATGTGTCATTGTCTACAGATGATAATAATCAGCTTTTTTCTTCCCTTTGGTCGAACTTTAATACTTTATTGAAATTAAAGTAATCCTTGTGCATTTTTTGGATCATGTAATTCTTTGTTGGCACAGTGACAATGTTTACATTATCTTTTTTGGTAAAACCTGTAGCAGTAGTGAAACAGGTATTGGGTCATGGAATCCAAAGTAAATGTGCATCCAAGTGAATTCAGGTCAAAATATGGGTTGTACGACATTTAAAGAGTCTAAGTGATGATGCACTATAAAAATTTTATCTAATTTTGAAATAGATAGTGATGAAGAGAAACAGATTTCTAGGCAAACTAAACCCTCACAGCTTGCAGGAAAAGGGAAATTTAACATTGTATATTGACTGAATTTTTTTGGTAGATTAGAGTAAAGTGGGTGGGAAAACTCCAGCTAAATAAACTAGATTCTTTTGTCTCAGGAACAATGAGATATGTAGTTACGGTCTAGGTAGCTTATAAAGATTTGCATTAAATTGCCAACTGTAGCTCTTTTCTGCAAACAGAAACTATACTTGGTTATGTTTTTTAAGTCTGCATGCTGTGTTCATTCTTGATTGCAACATTATTTTGTATATAAGCCACACTGCAGTACATTCACACTTGTAAACTTATTGGCCCGCTTGTTTCTGATGTAAATTTGCCGTATACAAGACAAAAGCCATTTTATTTATGTTGAGATAAAATAAGGTTATGAAATGAAAACATTCTATTATGAAGTTATTGTTTATTTTTTATAGAGAACCCACATGTCAATGCAAGCTCCCTGTAGTGCAGAGGGAAGTATTGGTGGCCTTTCGAGGGTAGAAACAAGGAGTCAGCGACAGTTAAAGGCTTTAAAAGAGCACACTGCAAGTAATGAGATACCAGAGAGAACAAAATCTGCTAATTTTACGTTCACCAATTGTTTTATTCCCGTTGTTAAAAATGTTATTCCTCTCCCTGAACTTGACTGGGCTGATCCAAAAGAGGTGTGGTCAATAATGCTACACAAGGATCGCAAATACTGCCGAGATCCACTGTATTTTAGAAGACATTCATTTCTCCAGCCAAGAATGCGGGCAATTCTACTGGACTGGCTAACAGAGGTGAGTTTGATTCGTGGAATCAAATTGCATCTTTCAGTTACATGAACCAGGGTTGGTCACCTCAATTCATAAAACTGTATGTTCATTACACTGTTTTGCTGAAGTCCAAGTAATAACACTACATTTTCTGTACATGTATGTACAAAACATTAATTTTACACTGTAAGGCTGTTCTCATACTATGCCGGATAGCTTTTGCACAGGGCATGAAAACCATACCTGATACATGTAGCACTTTTGTTCTCACATAAGAATGTTGATTTTAGCATGATTTCTGTAGCAAAGCAAAGCTGCCCTGCTCTGATCTCTTCAGTGGAGAGTCTTATATCGCATAGGTGTGCACATAGGTACTACATTTGTATAGCTTCTCATGTCGGCATGCAAAGTTATCCAGTTTAGTTTGAACATAGCTTCAAATACCCAGCCACTCTTACTGTGATAATTGCGGCTTTTTGTAAATAATAACTTTCAGTGCCTTTTGTGATATAACTTGGGTATTCTGTTGTTGCTCTACCCCCCACCCTCAATTCCACCCTTTCTGTCTTACTTCCAAGAAGTGAGTGCATACTTATCAACTGTATGTTCCTATCATTAAAATTGACAACTCCTGTGTACAAAAGAGGCCATATTGCTGACATTGTCTTTCTGACATCTTTCATGTGTTGATTTTCTAGGTGTGTGAAGTCTACAAGCTTCATAGGGAGACGTATTATTTAGCACTGGATTTTATTGATAGATATCTGTCTATTAAGCATGATATTGCAAAACAAAGATTGCAGCTTGTAGGAACAACAGCATTGTTTATTGCAGCTAAAATTGAGGTAAGACTCTATGCTTGTTTAAACTGCTCCTCTCGCTCTCACTCAGACATGATTACCCAAGAAAAAGAGGATCTTGTTTACTGTGGGTAATGTCGACCGAGATATCAGTCGACATAGCGGTCGATATGGCGGTCGATAGTCAGTCGACAGTCGGTCGACAGTCGGTCGATAGTCGGTGGATGGTCGGTCGATAGTTGGTCGATAGTCGGTCGATAGTCGGTCGATAGTGAGATAGACTATCGGTCGATATTTCGACGACGCACCTCGACTTGCTATCGGTCATATGTCGGTGATATATCGGTCAACTGTCGGTGGTATATCAGTCAACTGTCGGTGGTATATCGGTGAACTGTCGGTGGTATATCGGTGAACTGTCGGTGGTATATCGGTTAACTGTCGTTCGAATATCAGTCGTGTGTTAATTTATCAGGTGAGTCCAATGGCTTTTTTTTTAAGCAAAGACGTCATTAATTACTGTTCATGACATGCTTTAAGAGCGAGGAATACACATCTTTTATTATCGGGCTTTGACCTGCTTCATCACGCCAAGTTGTCGCTTGTGTAGAGACCACAAATTAAACTTATATATTTCTGTATTGAAGACGGAAACAGCCCTTTGTTTAACGATCAGTTATTGATAAAACGCGCAGATAATGTGCCGAGGAAGGTGACAAAAATATCCAGCAGGCTGAACACATTCATTTATTGTGGGATACGCTACGTTCTCATTACATTATCCTGTCCTTTTGCTCTGTCCTTTCGCTTTATATTTATATTTTGTTCAAAATAGAGACGACCATGCGTATACAGAAATTAATATTGAATGGTAAGTCACTTTTGGTCATCCACGAAAAGGAAAACAGTATGCGCCGCGTTAACATTAATATTATCTTAACTTGTTAAGGAAAAACAAGTTTAAAAAAATGAACTGTAAATACATTTTTTCATCAATGTAGTTCTGAGTCGGTTGAAAAATTCTCGGCATAGGAAAAATCAGCCAGATATAGGCCTTACACGGTGGGAATAAATCACATAACAAGAAGCTGAAGGCCTATCATTCTCACTTAGCGGACTTCTTCATGATTCAATTCTAGCCGGCTACGCGTAGCGAGACTCCCACCCCTGAAAAAAAAAACGAGGGGAGGAAACGTCTGCGAAAAGGTGGTGGGCATCGATACAGATAGGCTAAATCCCGTTCACATGAATTAAAAGAAAAGGCTAGATAAATGACTAATAGCTATTAATCCGGAATTTTGGCTAAGTACATTGAAGTTTGAAATTAAAAAAGCAGAAACACAATCTAAAAAAACAGTTAGGTCCAAGCTAGAAAATGCTTTCTAATTCCTTGTTTTCCAAGCTAAAAAATGTAGGAAATGCTAAGTGTCGACCGACCATCGACGGAGTGTCGACCAATTACTGACCGATACATCGGTCAAGTATCGACCAACTATCGACCAACTATCGGCGAAGTGTCGGCGAAATGTCGGTGTAATGTCGGCGAAGTGTCGGCGAAAAGTCGGCGAAGTGTCGGTGAACGAAAAGCTATATCGGCCGAGACACATCTGGAACGACTATCGACCGTGTCTCGACCGAGTGTCGACCCACTATCGACCGACTATCGACCGACTATCGACCGCTATATCGACCGACTGTCGACCGAGCGTCGACCGAGTATCGACCGAGTGTCGACCGAGTATCGACCGACTGTCGACCGAGTGTCGACCGACTATCGACCGAGTGTCGACCGCTATATCGACCGATATCTCGGTCGACATTACCCACAGTAAACAAGATCCGAAAAAGATCTCTGAAGAAATTATCTGCTTGTGTTACTGAGTTAATAAAGGCCTGTTCCAAATGTTTTTGTTGTGCCAAATTTAATGCTAATGAGGAAAATCTTAGTATTGCTCTTTCTTGCGTTAGATTTGGTGCACGTTTAGTCTGACATTTGAAATGGGTCTACATGTAGCACAATTCAAACCTCTCAGGTACATAGCCATTCCATCTAGGTGCACCTGGCCAGTCTGAGCTTACCCCAGTTCCGGGATGGTATGCAGTCCTATGTCAAGGTTACCGTGCCCATCATTATATCTCCAGTACCCATTTACACAGAATGGAGCTATCTGATTTTTCTGACAATTGGCTCTGTCCCTTTAGTGTTTGTATCAATTACATGTACAGTGATAATTCTAACACAACATTTGGAAACACCATACCTGTACCGACCTATTGTGAGATATGCTAGCTAGGATTTGCACCTCCAAATTTAAATTGAATTTAATGGAGTGGACGCCAATAATAATTATCATTGGTTTCAGCCCCTGTAAATCTGATTACACACATTCTAGGCATTCTACTGATGAAGAGTTACAACTTATAGATATTTCAAGCTACAACAATTTGTCATGTCCTCTATGAATTTAGGTCCCTAACTTCTTCAACATGGTATTGAGAAATTGCCAGTACAATTGTTCGGTTGATTACATGTATGTTCACTTTAGCATTGAAGGCTGAATCTGTGAATGTTATGGGTTCCAATGTTTTTACTATTTTTTTCTTTCAGGAAATTTACCCTCCAAAACTAAGTGAATTTGCATACGTGACAGATGGCGCTTGTACAGAAAATGAAATCTTAGATGAAGAACTTCTTATGTTAAAGGTGAGCCATCAATCTTTGTGTTTGTGATTACACATACTTTTTGATCTATGAATTGACTGTGCTCTCTTTTCCTTTTTCTCCCACAGGCTTTAAACTGGAATCTATCACCTATAACAATCAACTCCTGGTTAAATATTTATTTACAGCTCTCTTGCTTAGCAAGTAAAAATGGCAAAACACCTAACTTTCACTTGCCCAAATATCCACAGCAACAATTTATCCAAGTAACACAGGTATGTAATTTGATTTTTGCGAGATGTTCAAAGCATGTCTTATTTACCGGTACCAAGTGTAAGGTCAAGATGGCTGGATATCTATGTCCAGCAATCTTGACCAAACAATCTTGCCCAGTAAAGGATTTTTGTATGTGGCCACTTTGTCTTGGCCACGTGCATATCTAATCATCATAATAAGCATATATTAGATAACAACTCCAAGTCAAGTGTAGTAGCAGACTGGCAAATATTGAAAAGAAAAGGCTTATTCTATTTTGCAAAACAAAACGAAACGAAACGAAACGAAACGAAATATATGGGAGAGGGAGAAAAAATGTTTATTAACCTAAACACAGCTTAAGACAACATTGACAATGTGTTTGGAAGTAATAGTTAACGAAAAATGACGGCTTTTTACCTTTTTCGCAAAGTAGTAATTTCAGTACAATTACTATTTTGCGAAATGGCGTTTTTTCACCTTTATTTAGCAAACATGTCCTTTTCGTCTGAAACAAATGAGTTCTAGTATGGCTTATAACATGGGAAGTCACCAGACTCTGCGAAATATTAATCATTTTATTGGTGGACACAATTTGTTTCAGACGAAAAGGACATATTTGCTGAATAAAGGTGAAAAAACGTCATTTCGCAAAATAGTAATTCTGGCAAAATTACTACTTTGCGAAATGAGTTCTAGCACGGTCAATAACATGAGAAGTCACCAGACTCTGCGAAATATTAATCATTTTATTGGTGGACACAAATTTGTTTCAGACGAAAAGGACATATTTGCTGAATAAAGGTGAAAAAACGTCATTTCGCAAAATAGTAATTCTGGCAAAATTACTACTTTGCGAAATGAGTTCTAGCACGGTCAATAAGATGAGAAGTCACCAGACTCTGCGAAATATTAATCATTTTATTGGTGGACACAAATTTGTTTCAGACGAAAAGGACATATTTGCTGAATAAAGGTGAAAAAACGTCATTTCGCAAAATAGTAATTCTGGCAAAATTACTACTTTGCGAAATGAGTTCTAGCACGGTCAATAAGATGAGAAGTCACCAGACTCTGCGAAATATTAATCATTTTATTGGTGGACACAAATTTGTTTCAGACGAAAAGGACATATTTGCTGAATAAAGGTGAAAAAACGTCATTTCGCAAAATAGTAATTCTGGCAAAATTACTACTTTGCGAAATGAGTTCTAGCACGGTCAATAAGATGAGAAGTCGCCAGACTCTTCTTCGAAATATTAATCATTTTATTGGCGGACACAATTTGTTTCAGACGAAAAGGACACATTTGCTGAATAAAGCTGAAAAAACGTCATTTCGCAAAATAGTAATTCTGGCAAAATTACTACTTTGCGAAATGAGTTCTAGTACGGCTAATAAAATGAGAAGGCGACAGACTCTTCGAAATATTAATCATTTTATTGGTGGACACAATTTGTTTCAGACGAAAAGGACATGTTTGTTAAATAAAGGTGAAAAAACGCCATTTCGCAAAATAGTAATTGTATTGAAATTACTACTTTGCGAAAAAGGTAAAAATCCGTCATTTTTCGTTAACTATTACTTCCAAACACATTGTCAATGTTGTCTTAAGCTGTGTTTAGGTTAATAAGCATTTTTTCTCCCTCTCCCATATATTTCGTTTCGTTTCGTTTCGCAAAATAGAATAAGCCAAAAGAAAATGAGGGGAAGAAGTTGTTGGAAAAAGAGGAGCAAATTTTCAGCAAAATTGTATAGATAGTTTTCACAGTGATGTCATCAAATTGTAAAGTCAAAATAGCGAGGTTTTGTGAATTCTTATTTACACTAGGTTGGAGATAAACAAAAAGTAAATCTTTGTACAAAGTTTTCATTCCCGTAACACGTTTCATTTTGAAAATACAGCAATTTGATCTTCCTAGTTTTCACAGTGCGTGACACCAAAATAGGAATGCTGTCTCGTTCATAAAAGTCTCTCCTCCTAATTTTCAGCAATATAACCATTTCAAGTATTAGAAGATATGTTTTTGTGCATGTATGCTAGTTCTTGAGTTAAAAGAGAGAGCTTTTATAGAAATAGTGAACTCCAGATGTTTTTGATTTCCGGCAGCCATATTGGTGCACCAAAATGGCACACCAATATGGCGTTTCCATACAAAGCTCTACAAAGGTGCGTAAAATGTTTCGTCAAATAACTCAGAAAATGGGGCCACAAAGACCTGACACTTAGACATTTCATTTTCTTGGCTTCCTCCACTGGACAGTTTCCAATTTATTTTTTTGTTGCGTGACAATGAAAATGATCTACATCAGTCATGTATACACTAGTCAACAAGCTTTTAGCCAGGATTTGCTAAGTGGCTGTACCACCTTACATCATGTACCTGGGTAAAAAAACCTTGCTCTAAAATATTAGATTAACTGTTAGTGCACATCTGTTTTCCACAGCTTTTAGATTTGTGTGTACTGGACACAGGTTCTCTTCAGTTCTCATATAGCATTCTAGCAGCATCTGCTCTGTACCACATACTTCCTGTTAATATTGAACAGGTCACAGGTAAGAAATCTGAATAACTAATGAAATAATCTATTTTTTTTTAATAACTACCGTATTTATTCGAATAAGCGCCCAACCTTGAATTAGCGCCCACCTCGAATAAGCGCCCATCCTAAAGGCAGGAAAAGTTACTAAGTGCCCAGCCTCAAATAAGTGCCCACCCCACCTCCCTCCCACTCCCACTCAAACTCAAATAAGTGACTACCCCCACCCCACTCCCAAAAAATTGAATAAATACTAATAAGAGACTTCCCCAAGACAGAGTTTTCTTCAAGGTATTTTACCGGAACTGGGTGGTCGCATTTTGTTATTACAGTTTATTGTTTTGTTGCAAAATAAACATACTACTCTTGCTGAAAATGTTGAAAATTTCATAAGGGCCCAGCCCCGAATAAGCGCCCACCTCGAATTAGCGCCCACTCTCAAGGTCCAAAAATTTAATAAGCGCCCAGGGCGGTTAATTGAATAAATACGGTAAATAGTTGTGTGAAGAACATTTGCCTTTCTGCCCGTCATTGTCATAAGAAAAAATACATTTCATTGACATAATAGATATTTGATTTTTAATTAAAATTTTGTAATATTATGCAGTTATGTTCCTAATGCAATTCAGGTGTACCACATAGTTACAAAAGGCTTTCAGGTGGTTACCTAAGCATTTGATGACCTTTAGTTACCCCTGTAAACATTGGAACTGTATGTGTTGTTGTGCAAGAAACAATCTTCTATTAATATACCTGGTTACATAATGCATACCAGCAACTTTTAGACAATACTCCATTGGATTAGCATAGATCACAGAAAAGTTTTTTTCCACCTAAGTTATATGGACATTTCACCTTATGGATATTTTTTTCCCTTTCTGTTATTATGTTGAAGACGAGTTTCATAAGAAGTTTCATACATCTTTCCTGCAGGTCATAGCTGGGAAGAGCTATACCCATGTATACAGTGGATGAAATCTTTTGCGGATGTCACCATTGAGAAAGGAACGCTTACACTAAAAAGTTTTGAACATGTTTCGCGTGAAGACGCTCACAATGTCCAAACTCATGCTGTTGATTTAGCTTTACTGGTCAGTAACTTAGTAGTGTAAAAGCTTTTCTCCTTGCTATCTCTGCTCCTGATCATTGCATGTCCCTAAGATTTTGGATTGTATATGCAGTGTCACAGATTTGGAAAAAATGAAAGAAGGAAATTAACCTTGTATGGTGTATTACACACCTGTTGTACACATACACCATGAATGTACATACAGCCACTACAGTATTCTTTTGTTTGATGTTTCCAATGTCACTGCGGTGTGCAAACCATTTAAAGCAAGTTCCACTTTATTGCTTCATGCTTATTGTATTGATATTCTTGCCAGAGCTAGATTCAAAACCAATTTTATTGTGTCTTGTTTGTGTTGATTTTCTCACACTTTTTCATAAGTGAAATTTATTTACTTCGAAACCTAATCATTTATTTTGAATTTCTTCACATAATAAAATTACTGTAGTTATAAGAGTAATAACTTGTTTAAGATCATGTTTACACTATACCAGATGGCATGAACACCTATCCGATATCTGAATCTCCAGTGACTTTGCAGATGAGGGGCAGGACAGTTTTGCTTCATTATCAGGGGCACCCAACAACAATTTTCAGAAAATATCTGTTCGGAAGACGATTTGACATCTAGAATTTTCGGAACATTTGTTGTAAAATTTCTTGCTTGCCTGCCTCTCCTAAGATTTTCGAACATCTAAAAACTACTATAATTGCCCATTTTTAACGGATTTTTACCGTTAAAACGTCACCTAGAATTTCCCGGGAGCCTTTTTTCTGGCTGAAATTTTCGAAAAAGGTAAGTTTTGATCCCTATAATTTTCGGATCACTAGACCTTCAGCTAGGAATATCGGAACAGATGAAAAATTTTTAGGGGATAAAAATATGTTATATCTACTGTTTAAATACTAAAATAAGTTTAACAATGCCATGTTTAAGTGGTTTTGAAGTATATTCTTGTTGGGTCCCCCTGCATTATAGAAACTGCTCCAAAATCACTGTTATTATGTGTTAACAGAAGCCCTTATATCCACTATGATTATTTTGCATGCTGGCAAAAAAGCTATCTGAGTTTGAACATGGCCTTTAGTTAGATTCACAAGTTTGTCTGTGTTAACTATACAATTTTCCGTGTTTTCAGGATAAAGCTCAAGAACTTCAAAACAGCAGATGTTCCTTTTCATCAGAAAATAGATCAGTGTCACCCATTGTGCAATCCTTCAACCCACCAACTCCGCCAAGCAGTGCAAAAAAACCAGCAGCAAACACTGTGATAGTCATAGATTGAAAACGAGTTAGTCAAAGTAATTACAGTCTTAATCTTAGCTTGGGGTACAAGTGTATACACAAAATTTTCTGACATCCTGATTCTTGCACTTGTCCTACACATGTCATAAATACAGAATGTTTTCTAAGAAAGCTTGTTTTCCTACAACTTATGAGCTTGTTACAAGTAGTAAAGTGGATGTCAATTCCCCACTTAAGACTCCTGGGATTATTACTGCAGATGTGCCACTCAGCTGTTGGCCTTCCCCCTCTGTCCCCAGTAAAAGCTTCAAAAAAGGGGCAAATCAACAGAGAATCCATCTTTTGTTGTACCACCAAATATAGAAATTTCATATAGCAATTTTTAATTAGGAACATCTTTGAGTGGAGTTCAGCAAGTTAAGTCATTTCTAAATTAACTTTTATGTTAGGTTGATTTTACTTGAACCATGAAACAGATGCTAACAAATAATGCAAAAAAGCAAGAGGTAAACAAAAGAATTAGTGTGTAGTATTGTACTACCTATTTCACGGTTCAAGTAAAATCACTAAAGAAGCTAACTGCTTTAAATGGGTCTACAATTAGATATAGAAACCTGGTGCAGCAAAACAAGATACATTATTTCCAATGGGATGACGTGTTTAATGGTTACTTGTGACAATGCACAGCATGGTCTTCAAAGAAAAAAAAGAGGAAAATAAATGTGAAATTTGGCAGTTTCACTTTTTATCCTAAACTGAGAGGCGCTAAATTGTAACATTTTGTGGACAATATTGGTCAACTTGAAACTGCAAGTAAAACAGTTTGTTCAAGAAATGACTGATCAGAGTGTTTTTGATAAACCTTTCTGGCATTTTTGGAAAGTTTAATGAATGTGCTGGACACAACTCTGACTTCCAGAAATGAGAAGGTAATTATACTTTTCATTTTTAAAATAATTATCTATTTGTAGTATTTTAATTCACGTGTTATAGATACGCATACATATTAAACGATTTGTGCAAGAATTTATTGTATAAGAAGTAAATTGTTTGGTATTAAAGTTCTGAAAACTTTGCATTTCCTTTGTCAAGAGGCTTAAAGTAGGGTAAAGATTACCTCAACAACATTGCAATATTATTATTCATAGTCATGTTTTATCAAGTCATCATGGTCTGTACATAGCCTGCTAAGAGCAAGGAGTGTAAAGGCCTACAACTTGTAATTATGTAGTTTAGGCTACTGAATTTTTTTAAAGAGAATTATTTCTTGTAAAATATTTTAAGGAAAAACATGAAAATTTGTACATTTTCTACACATGCATGTTAGATTCCAGTTTGTATGAAGATACTCAATAAAGTTTGATATAAGGTACTTTGTACAATTTGGAATTGTAAGTTGATTTCTTTTAGGTGAATCTCGCTTTCTCTTCTTCTTGCCTTTTTTTTTGGAGGGGGTGGAGGAGGATTTTTTGGCGGGATCAGTCGTAACTTAGAATCCAAAAGGGGAACCACTGAAGACTTTGGAAGGATTCAGAGGGAGGACCACTCAAATTTGCCTTGAAAATGAAGACATGGGGGGGGGGGGGGGCGGGAAAGCCCTCAAAATTTAAAAGGGGGGCCCCCCGCGCGCGCGAAGCGCCCGCGCGGGCGGGGCCCCCTTGCCAAGTAAATCAACCCCCCCCCCAAAACTTTGTAACCCCCAACCCGCACACACCCCCCCCCCCCTC